TTTTCATAGTGCATCTAATAACATGAAACAGTGCATCAAGATATTTAAAGTGCACTCAAGTCAGATGCACTTTAACATATCAACATATGCACCGTGAATCTTTGCTTAAGTACAATTAATTATGGAATTTGTCAAAATCACGAATTTTTCATAGCACTTTTTTCCTTTACTTTGAGTCGTAATCATCCCATATATCAACGGCTATCATTAATCCATATTTTTACACAAAGTATTATTCTTATATGATTCTAATTCATATATATATATATATATATATATATATATATATATATATGTCACCAATACTTTTATATCAGGTACAATCATGAATACATTCATATTTGTATCAAGTATTATTGATAATGATTTTCGATCATATCCATTACAATTATGTATGATATACAATTATACATAATTGTAACCTATATAAAAAGAACGGGGGTAAATTGCTATCTTAAAAAAATTTATATAATGAGTCCGGGTAAAGTATGTATATGACAAGTTGATAAAAGTACAATTTTGTTTGCTGTGTTGTAGGGTCTCACTGTCTGGACTTACAAGGGGAGAGAGAAACGGATCCAGACTGGTTAACTGAGCAACGGAAAACGGAAGTTGAGATAATACAACGTTGGATAACCAATTACTATGCTGATCTTCAAGCACTCAAGAAATAGAAGACAACAATGTTTTATTGAATTATATATACCAATTACAGTTGTGAGCAGATAATATATAAAATAAAAGTGTAACTTTTCACCGGACAAACTGATCAGTTATGGATGTTTTATTGGTTGATGTTGTCATAATGTAATGTTAAATCTGTTTGAAAAATTAGTAAAATTTGACATTTAAAGTGGATATTTTAAAATATTATTAATCTGAGTGGATATACTTTCAATATGGATCATGTCAAAGTTTTTATTCATATTCTGGTAGTTGAAAAGATAAATTTGATATATTATATGCTTAAACGAGTATGGGAATAAGAAATCAATCATCAAAATGTACTCATTAAATTGAGAAAATTAGAGTTTGGGAAGGTTTTTAAGTAGCTTTGACGTTCCACTAAACATTGAAAGGAAGGTGAGTTTACACTAATATATCCCAGCCTCCATATCTTAAGTTATCTATTTGCTTTCTTGTAGTCGTGTGCCATTAGTATGTATGTCGTATGCATGGCCGAATGTAGTTGTGTGCCATAATTTATATGTCGTGTGCATAGGTTTGTTAATTAATAGAGTCTGGGTTCGAAACATGATGTTTGCATGTATGCTAGTGTGTCATTGTATAATTAATAGAGTCTAAGTTCGAAACATGATGTTTACATGTATGCTAGTGTGTCATTGTGTATTAAATTGTGTGCATGATACTAATTTGTCGTGTGCCCATTATCTGTCCGCACAGTTCTCTATATATTATGTGAACGCAACCATATATATATATATATATATATATATATATATATATATATATATATATATATATGTATATATATATATATATATATGTATATATATATATATATATATATATATACATATATATATATATATATATATGTATGTATATATATATATATGTATGTATATATGTATATATATATATATATATATATATATATATATATATATATATATATATATATATATAGAGAGAGAGAGAGAGAGAGAGAGAGAGAGAGATTTAAGATCATATGAGAACACCTGCTTAGGTGAGAACGTGATAATAAATCGTGTGCATCCGTCTAATATTTTTTAATGGTCTAGATTATATTAAGTGTGTGTGAACGCGCATTAAATGTGTGCCAACACGATTAAGTGTGTTTGCACACATTTAATGCGCGTTCGCACACACTTAATCTAATCTATACCATTAAAAAAATTAGATGAATGCACATGATGTGTTCTCATGTTCTCACCTAAGCACATGTTCTCACTGGAACCCTACCCTATATATATATATATATATATATATATATATATATATATATATATATAATCGCACTCAGGTGCGAATGTTTCGCCCAGGAGCGAAATAGGAATGGATTCTATCCGTCCACGTGTCCAGATCTAATGGATGAGAAACACTGATTTTTTTTAAAAAGCGCTGTGACATTTTAGTAAATAATTGATTATCGAAGTGCAAGTAAAATGTATTATAAGTGCATGTAAAATGTATTATAAGTGCAAGTAAAAAATTTACACTAAGCATCAATACTAAGTGCACCTATAGTTCTAAGTACTTGCACACATAGTTATAAGTAGTTGCACCTAGGTTCATGAATGTTTGCGGGTGGTTTTCAGGGGTATTAGTGTATTACTACCCGCTGAACTCAGATCAATGAATGTTAACAAGGCTAAATTGCATGCACTTATCGGTGAAAGTAGGTGCACCTATAGTTATAAGTAGTTGCACTTAATAGTTGCACCTATAGTTATAAGCACACCCTGGTGCATGAATGTTTGCGGGAAGTGAATGCTAACAAGGCAAAATTACATGCACTTATAGGTGAAAGTAGGTGCACTTATAAGTGATTTTACTTGCACTTCGATGTTCAATTATTTACGAAAATGCCACCGCGTTTTTTTTACGCTATTAGATCTGGACACGTGTCGCGCGCTGATTCGTTCGCATATTCCTTCCTGGGCACTTATTCGCACCTGAGTGTGTATATATATATATATATATATATATATATATATATATATATATATATATATATATATATATAAGGGATCAGGTGCATTTGTGGCTTCTCGTGCGGTTGATTAATGTGCGTGAGTTTTATACTTAATGTGCGTGAGTCTTGTGCTTAATGTGCGTGAGTGTGTAATGTTAATGTGCGTGAGTTTTGTACTTAATGTGCTTGAGTATTATGCTAAATGTGCGTGAAGTTTGTGCTTAATGTGCGTCACTTGAGTTCAGAATTACGAGCTCAGAAGGAAGCAGAACAGAAAGAGAAGGTGGGTGAAGCTTTTCTGATTGTGTGTGAATGGATGGATATATGTAAACGCGCATATAGCTGTTCTGATTTTATGTTTTATCTGTACAGGAGAGAGAGAATGCTAATGAGAGCGAAAATGTTTCAATCTGTGAGAGCATAAAAGACATTGTGAATGAGGCTGAATCAAAGGAAACTAGGGAGGGAGGTAAGAAAACTCAAAAGGTCCCTCAATATGTAAAGAAAAACAAGACAAAATCCATTCCTCCACCACTTCGAAACAAAAACAAGAAGAAAATGCAACAGTAGATGCGCATAATTTTCACAGCAGTGGATGAAGAACACACTCACGCACATTAAGCACACAACTCACGCACCTTAGGCACAAGACTCACACACAAGTACAAAACTCACTCACATTAACATTACACACCCACGCACATTAAGTACAAATCTCAGGCACATTCAGCACAATACTCACGCACATTGAGTACAAACCTCACGGGAACCTTTCAATATATATATATATATATATATATATATATATATATATATATATATATATATATATATATATATACGCACACACACATACTAGTTCTTCCCACGCGCTTTGCGCGAAAACTTGTGCACAATGTTTTAACTCAATTAGTAAATCATTGTGAAATAGATAAATTGCATTTGGGTTTTTTTTTTTTTTTTTTTTTGATTTGATGAAGTTTCATAAATATTCACGTAAAATGTATTTTGTTGGTTTTTAGAAAATTTTCACAAGAAATTCACATTATGATGAATATACACATTTGTAATTATTTGTAATGATATTTAATGGTATTTTACAACTATTTTCTACTTGTGTTATTTAGTTAACATGTATTTGCAATTGTTTCCAATCTCATCTAAAAGTATGTTGCTTACTGGTCCTATCAGTTTTGTAAATGAATGTGCAAATGTTGTAAGTATTAGTTCGTGTAATTTTATTATTTTGTTGTTTGCTGGATTGAACATCTAAAAATAAGTAATATTAGTTCTTTTGTTTGAGAATATCATTTTTGTTACATGTAAAATAACTTATTTTATGACGGGAGCGCATTGATGTAAACGCAATTGTAAATGGATAAAATTTGTTTAAATGTCTTTTTCTTCTAGTTTGAGTTATCTCCCTTGTAATTCATATTGTTGTATGGAAATCCAATAACAGGTGAGCCATCATATCCTCTATTCAATCCTGAATAGAGTCATCATGTGTTAATTTACCAGTAGCAAACACAAAAGAACATCACTATAAAAATTTCATTTTAAAATTGTAAGACCAGTCTTGGTCATTTTTAAATCTAGCTGTTAGTGTTGATATATTTATGTATTTTTGGTTCCATAAATATAAATGCTTGATTGTAAATATCGCATTGCTTAGAAGAACATATATATATGAGGTGATTATGTACATCATTAGGAATTACAATTTTAAAAAGAGAAGAAGAATGTAAAATAAAAAATTTTAACAACCGAATGTTTAAAATAGATAACATGAATGTTAAGAAAATAATTTAACAACCACATAATTTTATAAAATATGATTTTCCATTTTAAAAAATTCTGAAACTATCAAATCATGTTTTCGAATTAGTTTTAATACCTTGTAGATTCTTGCACATTTACCATCAGAGTAGAAGAACTTCATGCATTATGTGGTTGCTCATTTGATACCTAGATATGAGATAAACTTATTAATAAAAATTAAGCTAGTAAACTTAATAATAAAAATTTGAAAACAAGGAAAAAGAGTAAATTGAATTTAGAAATTACTTGGTCTTTTTTTGAATAACATGTCACACTAATTTAATGAACTATAGAGGATTTGTCAAATATAGATATACATATCACTTGAATTCAATTGTCTCAATTCGTCATCTCTCACAAATTGATATCTAGAAATCTTGTGGCACATGTGAGATAAATAGTTATCAATTGCAAATAATTAGTATATGAAAATGATATTTATTTAAATTTGAAATAAGAGGGTAAACAAAAATAACACCAATAAACGTCAGGCATGATGTTAGTTTTTGTCTGGTGCAACAGTTGTTTGAGATATGTAATCCAAGATTTCTTGATAAACAATATTATTTGTAATATTGATCAGTTTGTTGTGACCATCATCACTGAATATAATCATCTTGATCGAATCTGCTTTTTTTGCCCGAGACATAGCAACATACAATTGTCCATGACTAAAAACCGGCTCTTTCAAGTAGATTCCAACAAAATCTAATGTTTGCCCTTGAGCTTTGTTAATTGTCATGGCAAAACACACTTTAATAGGGAATTGGGTTCTTTTAAAGGGTATCCGACAATTTTCATCCTTTGATGGCTCAAGAGGAATTATTGGAACGAAGACATGTTTTCCTTTGTATTCACCAACTGCAATGAAACAACTGATGAGATGATCTTCAAATGAATCACAAACTAATCTCGTCCCGTTGCATAATCCTTCAGCTGGATTCAGATTTCTCAATAAAATTATAGGACAATTTTTCTTCAGAAGTAACTTGTGAGGAGGTAGGCCAGCTGGGGATAAAGTGTGTAAATAATCTTTACAATGCAACTGGTTCGAATTAAGTGGTTCATCAAAACTAACATAGCACTTACTTTCACCCGGGAATCTATCTATTAAGATAGAATTAATTTCATCTGCAATCTCATTCTTAGTTGTTAAGATGGCTCTGCTCATTAATGAATAAGGATCATTCCCGAAACATGTTAAATCAAGATATACAGATTGAAATAAAGAATCAAGAGAAATATCTTCATTCGGACATGGAATAATGAATGAGGATGAAATCTTAATCTTGTCTCGACCAACGAATTGTTCAGTTCCATTGCCAATCTTCATCAAGTACTCACAAAATGCTGAATCCTCATTTGCACGCACATTTTGGACCAATTTTAATCGTTGGGTGTTTGGCCAGATTGATGGTGATTTAACCAAAATTGCTTCAATGAAATCTTCTTTCTTCCCATATCTAATAACTGGTAATGTCTGTCGAAAATCACCTCTAAAAATAACCACTTTTCCTCCAAAAATTTGATCTGTGTCCATAGTATCTCTAAGGGGGCGTTTGGTTCAGGTCATCTTAGATTACCTAGGTAATCTGAGTCTGGTAATGTTATATTACCTTGTTTGGTTCAAGTTATAAGATTACCTGGTAATGTTATATTACCTGAAAGCTGATGTGGCGGTAATGTTTCAAGGTAATGTGATTACCCCCATTTTTTTAGGTAATCTTAGATTACCTTGAATTATTCCAACTTTGCCCTTGTTAACTAATCCTTATATAATAATAATAATAATAATAATAATAATAATAATAATAATAATAATAATAATAATAATAATAATAATAATAATAATAATAATAATAATAATAATGAAATTAATATATGTTTATATAATCAAATATACATGTGTATATTTATATATTTAGTTTTTTTTTTTTTAATATTTAAGCATTGAGATACATTCATACATATAAATAAATACACACACATTATATATATATATATATATATATATATATATATATATATATATATATATATATATATATATATATATATATATATAATTGAGGACATTATTGTAAATTGATCTATATAACCTAAAATATAACCTTGAACCAAACAAGGTAATATTATATTACCCCATCCAAACCAAACACACAAGGTAATCTTACATTCCCAACATCTCACATTACCTTCCTAGAGGTAATCCTATTACCTAAGGTAATCCAAGATTCCGTGAACCAAACGCCCCCTAAGCGTTATATCAACACTTTCAATAGACCGGCGGTTAGCCATAGAGGCTTTATCCCAAAGAATCAATCTACATTTTTTCTTTAATAAAGTAGCTTCTGCAGTTCGTTTTCCAATATTGCAAACATACTTATCATCTCCATCAATTGGTATTTTGAATGTAGAATGAGAAGTACGACCACCAGGCAAAATAGATGCTGCAATTCCTGAACTTGCAGTTCCAACTGCTATCCATTTTTTAGACCTCACAGTAGCTAATAAGCATTTATATAGAAAGGTTTTACCAGTACCACCCAGGCCGTCTATAAAATAAACTCCACCTGAGTTTGAAACGATACTTTCCATAATAGTATCAAATGCTTTGCATTGCTCAACATTCAATTTTTTCACACAAAGCAAGTCATATTCACTTACTTGTATGTTATATTCAGCTGTCATTTCTCTATCCTCCTTTTTTTGGGTTGATAGAGATAATGTGTTATTGACCAAGTTAAAGTCATCAATCTTCTTCCCCATCTTTTCTACGGCATTTGCAATTAATTGAAGAACCATCAGTTGGACTTCCTCCTCAGTATGTATTTTTGTTCTGAGTAAATCTTCACACATGTATGTCTTAAATTTATTCCACAAGTTACGAGTATTCGTGATGTCACAAAAAATTAGAAGGGTTGCAAATGGTCTCCTAAAACTAGATGGCATCTGATATAATACTGCTTCATCTAGACACTTTTCGACAATATGATCCCTAGATAACAGACCCAATTTTTCAGCTGCTTCACGAAATGTTACTGATTGATGGCCATTGACATTTTTTAAATGCTCAAATGATTTGGGTGTCTAACATTCATTAATAATACCCGTAAATAGTAACGCTCTCCTTCAGTTGGATTTACTGTCACAAGTCTGCCTATGACTTCTTTCTTCTTTCTCTGTGTCCACATTTTTCTTTGATTGTTCCACACAAAATATTCAGGGAATTGGATATAAAGTAAGTTGTGTTTTTTCGCAACTTCATCCACACGATTCATGTAGAAAAACTGTGTTAACATTGTGCGAGAAGTGAAGTCATCTTCAATGATATTAACCAACATGTCATTGTCGTGGAAATTAAGGTACTGATAGTTTTGCAGATGAACTTGTAAATGCACAACGGCGAGCTTTATTTCAGCAATTGGGAAGGCATAAATTCTCCAAGCCGCTTCAGGTGGGGAAACCTATCTTGCACTTTGGTATTCTTTAATCTCATCAAACTCATGAACATCGGCACCAGCGTATAATCTTAGATTGATTCTATCGTGTCCCTTATATATATATATATATATATATATATATATATATATATATATATATACACTTCATACATCTTATCCCTGCACATATTTCAACATTTATATGACAATCAAATTTCGCCAACAAATATGGATTAAAAGGGACAACCCACCGGTTATCAACTTGATGTCCTCTGACAAAAACGTTTGCTGAAGTGTCCCTCCTACAATATATAGGGTAGGAGTTTTCGTCAAAAATAGTCTCATCATTAAATGAGCGAGGGTACTTATTTTTGCAAGATGGAGCAAGTTGTTGTTGCTGGTGAAGCATACAAGCACAATTAGGATTTAAAGAACCACACGGACCATGAATCATATGCTTTTTAACCAGATTGTATAACTGTGGTTCACTTTCTTTATTAGGAATCTCAGCAGTTATAAATCTGTCACAATGAGCAGGAGTTGTAATTTTGAATTTGCTCTTCAAGTCTAGCACGGAAAACACGAGCAAGAAGGTCCGGCCTATTTTGTGGTTCATCAACATATTTGAGAAGTTCTTTAATCTCTGGCCAATTAGGATTACATGTTACTATTATAAACAAATCAGGCTTGCCAAATCGTTGCACAAGTGACATTGCATCCATGTATCTTCTTCGCATATCACGCGGTCCACCTATAAAAGAAACAGGTAAAATAACCATGCGGCCGACATCAGCACCAACAGTGGCCCCCGTTTCTACGCTATCCACAAGTCCTTGATAGGTGTCAGAACGACTTTCTTGCTGTTTTTTCCTAAAATAGTCCAGTCTTTGAGTTTCAACCTTAATATATGTATCAACGATAAATTGCTGCAATAGTCTCCCAGTGTGTAACAACATTGATTTGTCTGCCAATCGAACTTGAAATTTATATGCATAATATTCTCTACATGACACTGATGTTCTTTTTCTCCTTCTGCAAACACATATTCTTCAGCTTGAATCAACTCTTCAATTGAATCAATATTATTTGGGTTAATGTTTAATGACTTTCTCGATCCTGCAATACCAAAATGTTCACGCGATGAAACCCTCTGAATACCTTCATGCCAACCAATATCACCATGTGGAAATAGAAGTGGGTATTGTAAGGGGTCATAACAACCATAATAGTATTGAATATATTGTGACCTCCCACTATGTGCATATACCCTAATGTTTCTATTTCCATCAAGGCCATCTCCATTTTCTTCGATCCATATTGCAGCTACTTGAGAAGCAGATGGCATGTTGTAAGTTCTTTGATCCATTGAAATATCTGAACGCAATATTATGCTAAACTCGTCAGTCTGAGCAATATCTTTAAGGCTTCTGAAAAATTGACTGTATGGATTTCCTGACATGAGTTGAATAAGTGCACTAACAATATCTCTATCCATCCTATCAGCACCTTGAAGTCTGTTCTCAAGTTCATGCTCACCTATCAGCACCTTGAAGTCTGTTCTCAAGTTCATGCTCAGTGTCGTAGAAATAGAGTTGCAAATTGCGAGGAGGACAACCATTAGGTAACAAATCATTCACAAAGTGATACATTTGACCTTGAACTTTAAATGTGTAGATTCCTTTGTTTCTTCTGCACAATTTCTTATCGTAGTTTTGTATTCCCAAAGAAGTAAATGCAAATGTATTGTTATAAGTTCTGGTAGTAGCTTGAAAATGCTTTGCAGCAGAGTGTTGACCAACAAATAAATTCCTTAAAATTGTAGGCATTTCATTTGAGATGAGTGTAATTTGTCCACGTGAACAGCAGAAGCCTGGTGGTTCATACTGAAAGTGTTTCGCCCCACAATAGTTACAATCATTTATTGGAGTCAATGTAAATGGACTGTGTTGGGAGGTATTTGAATTTCTCACTAAACGCGTAAAAATTTGCAATAAAAATAAAGGTATTTGTATGTATTTGTGTACATAGCAGGGAGGTATATGTATGTATTTGTGTACATAGTAGTATAAATTTAGTTTTAATATATTGTGGTAAAAATATGTGAAGTCATTTGGCAACGCAAGTGTAAAGTAATTAGTTTATTATAAAATGACAAGTATAAAATATATAAAAGAGATGTGTGTAATGTAATTGTAAAAGAGATGTGTGTAATGTAATTGTGCAAGTCTACGCCTGAGGTTCCTACTCTCATGTTGATCAACATTTCGAGCATACCTTTCTCTGTCTTTTCTATTTCGCTCATCTCGATCAATAATAGGTCGAGAAGGAACACAATTATTCATTACTAAAGAAGATGAAAGAAATTATGTAATTAGAAATTTTCAATAATTTTTAATCTATGTAATAGAGTTAATATTGGTATTCACATTCATTACATTCAGGCGAATTTTTAGACTGTATATGTTTAACCACAAACAAAGACGCAAAGCTTTTTTAAGATACACTTGTAAGTTGATTTAAACTATTACTGAGTATTATATATCCTTATACATGTTTGATTTTTTAAAGTATTAAATTATTTACGTGTTTTGCTATGTTGTTTGCTTGTATTTTGTACTAAGAAGTTCATACAAGAACATTCCAAATCAATTATAAAGGAAACAAATGATAATTCAGATGACTGTAATCTAAATGTCATAAAATTAAGAAATGCACATATGCAACGTAACGGAGCAATAAAATTTCAATGTGCTCATAAGAAGAAGTGGAATGAGAGATTAGAAAAATAATAAAGGATACACTACTACAAGTATAAGCTTTTGTGTTTTTTTGTTTTTTGTTTTTTTTTGTTTTTTTGTTTTTTTTTTTTTTTTTTTTTTTGTTTTTTTACATTTGTTATTAAATGATGTAAATAGCACTAAAGTAGTTTATTAAATTATAGATGTAGCTTCACGAATCAATGTTTATACTATCACTTATACACTGCAACCTGTAAAAAAGGGATGAGACATCAAAAACACCCTTCACCAAATAGATCATGTAGATCATGATTAAGAAACAGTGTTTATTATTTGATCTGTTTCTTAATTATGTGTTTTTTTCTGGCCTATGAATTTAGTCGCGTGTCTGCAATATATACATATATATCTCATGCATATGTGATATGTAACCACTCAGTTAAATTACTACTTATAATCCCCATGAATGTGTGTTCAAAAGCTAGCTTCTGTTTCAGTTTTTGGTCGTGCCCAGATTGTACTGGCCTTACGTTAAGTTTGATTCACTTATTCATTAGCATAAAGACCAGATAGATTCGTTCTACCCTAAACAACAGATATTTATAGGCAAGTTAGGTGACATTTGGTTTTAACCAGAATATAATTCAAACTTACCTTCTTCCACTATGTAATCCTGGTGAGGACATAGGTTAATAATTCACTTTGACTTCAATTTCGTTGTTCCGAATAGAACAGGTTGCCGTCATCCTGTTAGATGTTAAGGATGTTTATGATCCGAAAAACAACAATATTAAACCAAAAGTTCATAGGTAAACTACCTTAATTTTGTTGAGCAGCTCGTAGCCTATGATTTGTGGCATGCAGTAATCTATGATGATCATATTCACCTTTGATCCCTGCAGAAAGGGAAAATCTACATAGCTTACGAAAATCGCAATGAAAACAGTTTCTGTGGGCGTTTAAGGTGTACAGTATCGTTACTGTCATAATCTGTATTGGCAGCCGAAGGAATTGAGCCGAAACATTGCTGGGGACATTACTATATCCTGGACTACCACTGATAATAACTTCAGATTTCTCTTTTATCTGCTTAAAATTATCATCCCTGAGTTTTTGTGATCCAGTACCCTTCTTATCAATATCGTTACTGTCACTCATGTTTCTGGCTAGACGACTGTGATCAATTCTCTCTTTTTTTCATCCTTTAACCTTTGTTTTGCAGGGAAATTTTATTTCCTATTTTGGTCAAAATTTCTTCCATCTTGAATGGATCATTTTATTTTTTCATAAATAAATTACCATTTTTATTTAGTAGCATTAAAAAAATTACCATTTTTATTTTTAAGAACAATTATATAAAACAATGCAAAACATAAAAAAAAAAAAAAAAGAAATGAATTCTAATACTATTAAAATCATATCCATACATAGATTAAAATATATGACTCATATCAGTCCTGCATTTCACATTTTAATTAAGGTACACACATAAATAAATAAATAAATAAATAAATAAATATATATATATATATATATATATATATATATATAGGTCAAAGTACCTATGAGGTCCCTATACTATTGTGTTTTGTTCAATTTAGTCCTTCTACCTTAATTTTGTTTAATTTAGCCCCTGTACTTTTAAAAGTGAAACAATTAAGAACAATAACTTATATTTATGTATTTATTTTGGACATATTAATGTAATATATGGTGGTAAAAATAATTAATTTAAATATTTATAAAATAATATATGAATTGGCATGTAAGTATGATGACGTGACAGATATAATGTCAGCGCCACATCAGCTATTGTCCTTAATTGTTTCACTTTTAAAAGTATAGGGACTAAATTGAACAAAATTAAGGTAGAAGGACTAAATTGAACAAAACATTATAGTACAGGGACCTCATAGATACTTTGCCCATATATATAAAACACAAAACACAGAACCAACACACCTTCACTGAAGCTTGAACTTACAACCTTTCAAATGAAAATCCAACCTAGATACCATTAACCATATAATCTTGGTGATTATTTTTTTATACTTATTTTTACTTTTATACTATGAAGTTTTATTAACTTGTTTTTAATATTTTTACTTTTAGTATGAAACATTTTTTTTTTTTTTTTGAATTGAGTATGAACATTTATTAACTTTGACTTTTTTAATTTAATTGATATAACTTTTTTATTAGAAATTCTCATTTTTATCTACCATAATGAGAATTTAGGGTTATTCCTACATCTTGTAATGTATTTAAAGTAGTGAAATTATTATTGATTACAACCAAGAATATAATTAACAATTATAAAAATTATTACTTGATATAACATACAACTCAAAATCAATAACTTTTATTCGTGTCTATATAGACACTTGAGTCATGAATTATTGTAATATAATAGAAAAGTATCATAAAGACTTCATAATTAAAAATCACAATATCACTCAAGTCTGAGACGTTTTTCTCTCGCATAATTTTTGTGAACATTTGAGGGAAGTAAATTTGTTGAATCCTCCACCGGACTGCTAGATTCTCCAAAGGCAAGTTTTTTTTTAATACCAGTAATTGATGAAGTTGATATATCTTCACAAATAGATGCAACTGTGTAAGTTGTCATTCCTCCCCGGTCTTGGTGTTGACACCTAAGCTCAACTGCAAAAGTGGGTGTATCAAGTTATTTTTGGAGCTTTTGAAAATCAAAGTCATCATTTCCATTTTCTGTTTCTGTTAAAGAAAATAACTTATCCACATGACGATTAAACATTGTTGCTTCAATTCTATCTGTCCCATCGAATAGCTCAACAATTAATCTGTATCTATAAAAAAAAAATTATGCCTCATGATTAGTATGAGATATAATAATATTATAAGTATGTGCACAAATACATTGAAGAGTTATGATTTACCTCTTGATAGAAATTGCATTTGCATGACCACAAAACATGCATCGGAATTTAATACCTTCATTACGATTAATTTTCTTATCACAATAGTTGCAACCAATGTAGTAGGTCGGATTTCCGTTGTCTATGAGTCTGATCTTTGATTTAACCCAGACTGCTTTTGACTTAATTTTGAACATATGCATAAAAATAACAAAATAAAAGTGAGAAAAAGAAGTTAAAAAGAAAATGTAATAAACAATAAAAGGGTCTAACATTAGTGAGAAACCTGCTCAAATGATTTTTTTAAATTTGAAATTGGCGATATTTGTTGATCTCGAGGCTTTCCAATTCACTAATAACATTGTTATGTGCTTTTTCAACAATCAATCTTTCAATAACCGAAGAATTAGCCTTCGCCCTATCAACAACGTAGAACCATTTAGCAAGTTGAACAAATAAAAAGTTAGGATGATAAAAGATGAATTTAGGTTACCATTCTTTGAGAGCCTCGGCACGTTTGCCAAATGGATTCACTTCTACACTAGAATCAGATCTTGTAGATAAGGAAATTCCTATTTAACATGTTAAACACCATTGATAAGGAAAATGACAAGTAGCTCCTTTGATCCTACCGGCTACATTTGAGTTAGAAGGATGAAATTTATGGCTTGCATGGTTTTAATGATACGATTTATTTTTATAGTTAAAGAAATGAGTATAAAAGACTTGACTACTACATAAAAAATTTAACTCCGTATAACACAATAGAACATCCAGAATGTTATAATAAAATGAAACCCTATTAGAACTATAAACAAACTAAAATTAATATTGAAATTACAATATTTGGTTTGTAATCTAAACCTTTAAACCAATATTGTGCATATATTTTTTCCACATAAAAATATGAATTGCAATTAATTTATAAGAAAACTATTCATGCTGCAAAAATTCAACCTTTCTAACAATCACATTTAATACTTCATGTTATTGATACTCATTCTTTCATAATTAATTTATCGAATGAATATTAAGATTGCATACAAACCTTGATATGGGGTGACAGTAATCCTTTTACCAACCGAATAATCTCCTTATTGGAGTTCTTTGTCAATTTCAACGCCTTGATAAACCGTAAAATTTCCCCACATTGTGAAAATGATAGGTTTAAGCCTATGAAATTAATAAGGAATTTATAAAGAAATTAATAAGGAATTTATAAATAGATCATGTCAAGCTTAGTTGACAATAATATTTTATTTGTTGTTACACAATGCAAGAAAATATAAAATAAAGTATAAATAATTATGGTTCTTTCCAAGCTATAATAGACAATTAAAAACTTTCAAAGTTAATTAAATTCAATAAACATACTCTTCATCAACCATCACAAAATCATTAGCTTTTTGTTGTCTTGTCTTGTTGGTGACAATAAATTTTCTTGGTAGTTTAGAAATCACAACTCCAATGACATCTACCAATAATATTAGAATTAGATTATTAATACAATATGTTCAAAATATAAATAATTGTTCACAAATAAAAAACACATGGAAAGAATCAAAACTCACTAATTGCTTGTCTTTTAGATTTGTAGGCATATAATTGTGTCCAAATGGTTTTGTATCCATGTCAGAAGAAGGTTGCAAATCCAATTGTTGATCATCATCGATATCTTGTATAAGAGTTTTCCTATTAATTGACCAAACAAACATATATCTCTCATCTGGGACATTGAAAAATTCATTAGCACGAGAGACTAATGCATTAGAGATAATATATGTGGAGTTTAACTTGAGCCTTTCATCAAGCACTTCAATATCATTCTGATAAGTCATTCCTTGAACTTTGTTGCCCTATAATTATATTTAAAAATAGATGTCAATAATTATTACAAAATATAACAAATATTTAAAATCCACACATATGCATAATAGAATTATGTTGAAAATTGAGAATGATAAAAGGAGTAACCGCTTCATCTTGAAATGTTATAGGTTTGTACAAGTTTCCAGGTTTGGTCTTTGACTCTCTTGTGTTCAACTTTTCAATAACACAAACCTTACAACTCCATTGTTTTATCTCAGTTTTGATTTGAGATATTAGAAGGTGAGATTCCATTTCTGTAAAAATATTTAAAAATATTATATATATATATATATATATATATATATATATATGTATGTATGTATGTATGTATGTATGTATGTATGTATGTATGTATGTATGTATGTATGTATGTATGTATGTATGTATGTATGTATATGTATATGTAGTAGCAATACAAGATATTCATGAAAGCATGTGCATCAGAGGGGAGGGAGATACCACATGAAGTGATATAATAATTACATAAGCATAAAAGCTATACAACATTCTTAGCATATCAGAAAAAAATATATATTTTCATGGAAATACCAGTTTTTTGTTACTGTTGAAAAAGTTATCAGCAAGGAATTTAGTTAATTTGTTGTGATAAACTTTCAATTTAGTGGGTGTAAATTCATTCAAACAATATAGCTCAAGACAGATTAAAAAAAAAATTTAGGAAATGAATTGAACTTGCATTTTCATGAGTATTATTTATTGTGAAATAAAATCTCCCTTCATCATATCAATAAAAATTAAAGTAAAATACTAATCATTTTTTTTTTTTTTGGTAAGAGAACTAAACTGAATAAGAATTTCAAGACATGGATCAAGTTTACTTTTTTATATCTTTTTATTAATCCTTTATAAAAAGGATAATTAAGAAATAGTAGAAAATATAATTATATCATATTCATGAAAAAAAGAAAGAGCATGTTTACTAACCGTGTTTGATGAAATGTGTCATATTTTTCCCAACATATGAGTATAATATAGATCCCAAAATATAGATCCAACAATAGATCCAACCATCACAACTTTAAACAAACTTTAAAATAATGTGGTTCCTAAACATCCAAAAGCACAATAAAAGCACCGGATAGTGAGGGGAAGATCATCTAGCTTTGCTTAACACAGTTCTGCACTAAACAACGAAGCATGAACTGTGAAGAACTCAGTCCCTTAGATGTTCATAATGAGTTGTGATCATTCTTGCAAATCATTACAGGTCTGTAGAGATCATCAACATTCAACACATCCACCATTGACACAAGAATAAACCAAATAAATCAAGAGAAAGTAATGTAGATGCACCAGTGTAGTCCAACAACTTAGAGAAGCAATGAAGCAGTGGAAGTAGAAAGAACATCACACCCATTTTCACTCCCTTAGAAAAATTATTGCAAATCCACTCCCCATTGTAGTGAGTTTGTTTAGTTATACCAAATACCAATAATAAGAAAATAAGTCCTCATCACACTGCTCATGTTACTGTTATGCTACATATCATTAAAAATAATTCAGGGGTAGAAGTGATAGACAAAAACATTCTATAACAACTCAAATTTTCAAACAAGCGTGTGAAGATATCAAGTGTGATGGAGGGATGTAATCCTAGACTTATGGTTTATCTTTGTCAAACAACCCATATCCTTACTTGCGAGTCTACTTCATATCACTATCTCATATATAGAGAAAAGAACAACATCACATCAAGAGAGTTTATTTTACTTAAGCCATTATTAGACCCATATAACAATTACTACATATAAAATTTGACCAATGAACCTCAACTACTCTCTTGTATTATACTCTGAATTTTCAGAGTGATCATTATATGTTGTTGTGATATACACCACAATATGATGATCATCATGATTTGCTTTTGCTTGTTGATGAGTTTCATCACCAAAGGTAGCTCTGATATTGCTATGCAATATCACTGTGAAAATTCAGAGTATAATACTTACACTTCTAACATCACCTATAAAGCCAACCTTGATTCACTATGTTTTTAAATGAACATCATATGCATTACAAACAGTGACACCGAAATCTTAACCACCAGAATTCAATTCTCTACATAAACATTTTATCTTGTTATTATTCCTACTCCTGGATCAAACAAAAATGAAAATATCACCCGATAAAACAACTTTCAAAACTTTCACACTCTCATAAAGAGTTAAATATACAAACTCTAAGCATCACTATCCATACAACAATGGGAATAAACAGGGGAAGTAAGAACCTGAAGGTGGCGGAGAAGAGATAACAGAGGGTGGCATTACAAACTTCTGGAATTATTGGATGGTGCCTTCAGTGTACGATGGAGCAGTTTAAATAGCTACATACATCCTAAAATCAAGTAATATTCCAAAACTAAATGAAGTAATAAGAAATTCATAACTAATTTGACTGACAAATTTTTGAAATTAGGTATTTGAACCTTCAAGGACTGCCATCAAATTGTATGAAATTAACAACAAATATTAATTAATTTACCTTAGATTAAACATTGAGGACTGCCATCAAATTGTATGAAATTAGCAACAAATATTAATTAATTTACCTTAGATTAAACATTGAGGCAGCAATTTATATTCATACCCATTGAATGTCGTTGTCGTTGATTGTAGTTGTTCTTTCGGCTGATGAGAATGTAATAAAGAGGATTGCGTTGATTGCAGGTCCTTATAGGTACCGTATGAGAGATAGGAAATCAAAGATCAGCTGATGAATAATGGGAGGAATTGCGGAGAAAATGAGCCGTATGAATTAGAGAGAATGCGGGAATAAAATTAGTGGACGAAATGAAGCTTGCCTTTTTTATATTATATTTAATGGCTTTGGCCAAGAAATTAGGATCAATCACAGAGGATGCGGAAGGAAAATGGGTGGACGAAATAGAGTTTGCCTCTTTTATATTATATTTAAGGGATCTTTTAATCAACTTAACAGTAACAGAATATATTGGATATTTTTATCCAAAAATGTACTGTACAACATTGAAAACAAAATGTATAAGAAATTAAACAGTTAAAAATGGGACAAAAACCAAGGACATAACCATCATTGAAACTTATATATATATATATATATATATATATATATATATAATGTAATTTTATTGTTTTTGAATTTCAAAATCGAATTATTTGTCTAAGATAGGTGAAAAAAATGACATTTTTGTTTTAAAATATACAAATAAATTTGTGTAAGTGTTTGTGGCATTGTATGTATATACAGAGTGCCTCCCAACCTCACAGGAGTTGGCGCTGACACCCTAGCACCTGAGATTGTGTCTATCGGGTCTTACCATCCTGGCAGAGACAAGGTCTTGGAATTTGAGAAGTACAAATGATGCTTTCTTTATTATGTTATGTCCTTCATCAAGATGAACGAATGATGCTTTCTTGATTATGTCATGTCCTTCATCAAGAGGAACGGATATGATCTGGACAGGATCATTACATCCATGGGAGATTTGGAAAGAAACGCAAGAAGATGCTACTCTGAGAGCGTATTTCAATTTCAAGTGTGAACTTTGTTGGAATTCACTAGACGTGTTAAATTACATGGATTACTTTTAAACTATTATTCTGTAAATAATCAAGTAACATTTTTCAGAAGTATTTTTATTTTTTATTAACATTAATTATACATTAAAATTTTATTGGTTAACAAAATAGTTATTATTTTATTTAATCAATATTAAATTCTATATATATAATAAAGTAATTATATTATACTTGATATATATAAAATGATTTGGATCAAAATTTAAATTTGATAAACAAACCTAACTTACTTTCAGACTATAGTCTATACATAAAGTTATGAACCTGCCTCAATTTTGTTTAGCATTTATTGGCATCCTTTCACCCATATACATGGCCTTAACCTCATTGATGAATGTGTTAGATTTTCTAATACAATGTATAAGATTTGACTATACAAAACATTTTAAAAGAACTCAATATGATCTAAAATGTTTTACCTCTATAAAAATCTCCTATAATATTTTTTTCCTCAATGATTGATAGCACATTGATGATTTTATGAGACCCGGGTTTGAATCTACCTTTCTAAAATCTTAAAGGACATATTAAATCTCGTAATAGCTACATCACGAGCGTGTCGACACTTGTGCCTAGAGGCTGGCTCTTTCACGAGTGTGACGACGCCCATGACTTCTGTTGGAAAGTTTCCGCATCCCATGTTTCGCTCAATTATGTGTCATTATCCAGGGAAGGCTGTATGACCATCTTCGAACGATGACTTGGAATGACTGGCTAGAGACTAACCTGGAGGGAGACGCGAGGCTTACATTTGGAGATGACTGGCCAGAGCGGTTTAGCACGCGGCTATGGTGGATTTGGCGGTGGCGTAATGATGCAGTCTTCAGAGGACAATCTACGACAACGAGACAGAAGGTCGACTGGCTTTCTCTTTATGATCAGGAGGTTCAGGTGGCCTTTGCGAAGCACCGGCACCCAGCTATGGGACGCACGACGCATACGGATATTAGAGCGGGTTGGAGAAAACCGGACAGTGGATGGCTCAAGCTAAACACGGATGGTTGCAGCAAAGGAGATGACTGTTACGCATGTCTTTAGAGAAGGCAACAAGGCGGCGGACTGCTTAGCTGCGGCATCGCTCTCTCATGCTAAGGGACTTCGAATCCTTTTTAATTTGACATGCCCCGGGTGGTAAC